GAGTCCAAAACAGTCTAAAGATGTCTAAAACAAGAAAAACACAGAGTCACTACAAGTAACTTCAGGAAGAGCAAGTTGCAGATGGTCGCTTGACAATCCTACATACTTTCAACATGCCTCAAATGTCCTCTTGCATCCCGCTGAGTTTGGAAGCTTCTTGTTCCTAGTAGTAATGCCAGGAGCTCCTAGTAGCGTCCTTGTTCTAGTGGCGATGCCCTTTGCTACTAGTAGCTTCCTTGCTCCTAGGAGAACGCAGATGCCATTGAGTCAATTGAGTTTGGAACTTGCTCAGGGCCAAAGAGGAGGAGGAGCCCACGGAGGCAAAGGAGGCGAACGGGGACTGCTCGGAGAGAGAAGTTAGAAATGTAACATAAAACTTTGAAATGACGAATTCATGATGCATTTCCGAAGTCAGGAGTTTTTTTTCCCGGTTTTTCATCATTTTTACAGTTTTTTTTGCTTGGCATTTCATGACGCAATGCGTTCATCGGATGAAACGCATGTCTGCTTGGCATCTTTTGGACCTCGCCATCTCCAAATAACAGGGGTGGTAGGCCGTGAAGAGGTATAGACTTAGGACCTTTTTCTTTGTTTTAAGCCCTCCGGGGAGGGGTAGGCCAAGGTAGCTAGTAGAAGAAAGGTATCTAGTAGCTACTGAGACGCTACTACCTACTGGACGCAGGATAGCTCACGCTTCTTCAAAAAAGCTCCCCCCGCCCTCAGAGGGCGGGGGTGAGCTTCCTTGAAGAAGCGCTCGCACTATTCGTTTGGTTCTTAGATTTGAGGGAAACTGAGCCTAAAAGAGACTAAAGAGACTCGCAAAGAGTACTTCAACCACTTCGATTATTAAGTTTTCCCAAACATCTAGGAACCAAATCCACCATGCGAATCCGTGGTCCTTCTGTAGTGGCTTTCTTGTTACGACAGGTGGCCTATCTTAAGCCCGTCTCACCATCTCCATAGCCCTTTAGGGCCGCCCTATAGGGCCTTCAGTCGACACCTCTTCTGCGCTCTTCTCAATTTCTTTCCCGAAAAGCGATGGCCTCCACCCTAGGAGCGACTGCCTCCAACCTACTAGCGTCCTTGCTCCTAGTAGCGATGCCAGGAGCCCCTAGTAGCGTCCATTCTCTCTTTTCTTTTTTGGGACCTTTCTTTATTTTCCCTTGCCTTCCCCAAAGTGCTCGCTTTCGGGTCTCTGCATTCGATGCTTCTGTTTTGTTTGAGGCAGAAGCCAGCCGGCCGCCGCCACCTGAGGCCGCCACCACTCCATCTCCAATTGTTTCAACGCCACAACGTTGTACTGACGAACCACTCACCTAACTTTACCTCCGTTTCCCTTGCTCAATGGAGTGCAGAGGCAGCTCCACCTCCACCGCGGCCGCAGACCGCACAGCCAAAGGACCGCACAATGTGGCATTCGGGTTTTGTATTCTTTTTCAATTTCATTCCTTGTTGAGGCACAAACGCAGCCACCACCGCAAGCACAACAAGCGCAACAGGCGCAGCAAGCGCAGCAAGCGCAGCAGTCGCAGCAAGCGCAGCAAGCGCAACAGGCCCAGCAAGCGCAACAGGCGCAGCAAGCGCAACAGGCGCAGCAAGCACAACAGGCTCAACAGGCTGCCTGGCTTTAAATTATTTTGGTCTATAGGCTTCTTGCTTCTCTTTCTGGCGCTGAAGCATCTTGGGTGGTGCATGTTTGTCTGCTTCATTCCGGATCCTGCCACAGGCTGCAGCTGCCCAGGCGCTCAGCAGGGACGACCAGAGAAAGCATCAGGATGACTGCAAATGGAGAAACTAGGGAAAGTACAAGAGCATGGTAACATGGACTAAAGGCATCTAGAGTTGACAAAGCAAATGCTTCGAGACTAGTCTACCTGGGAGGCTGCACAGGCTCAGGCTGCACGGCAGGCGCAGAAGGAGGCAGGTCTCTGGACTTTGAATCAACGGGAGCCTTTTTTGGATACAAAGGAGACGCAGAGGCAGGTTGACTTCCTGAAGGGACGTTAGATGACGTAAAGGGATCAGTAGCTTGTACTGGACCGGGGCCGGGTGCCTGCCTGGCCTGCCTTGCTTCTGCTTCCATTCCATAATTAGACCAAAAGACCTGTATCCGTCGTGCAAGAAACCAGAGCTGAAAAGGGAAGGTAAGGTTCCATAATTCGATATATTACTCTTACCCTCACCTTCTACAGCCATGAGAAAGAGCAGATGCCAGGGCGTACTTCTCACATTGTCATCATGCTGACCTGACCTTGCTCGTGTGGTGTGCGCTGTCATTTCGACATTCTAGTATGTCGCTCTGTCATGCCAACTTGCAAACAAGCTGTCATGCTGACGTGCTGTGTTGGCTGACAGGCTAATCTGTCGCTATGCTGACATGCTGAGGTGTTGTCCCTCCGATATGCTGACATGGTGTCATATTGGCGTGTTGCGGACATGTAGACATACTAAGACTAAGATGCTGTCACACTGATTGATAGCTGACGGTGTCACGCTGGGATGCTGACGTCCGGTCATTGGTCATGGCGTCGTGCTGACGCTCTGAGCGGGCTTTGAGGCAAGTTCCCTGGTTCTTAGTGTTGCTTGTGCATCTGTGGGCATATGTGGGGTGTGGTATGCCGACGTATTGCCATGTTGTGATGCTCGCATGGCAAGTTGAAGAGGCTTAGGCTTACCAGCAATGTGTTGCATACCCACAGCTTTTGGTGAACTTGCGATGTTGCCACCGCCTAGCAGCCTAGCAGGCGAATTCATCTCCGGCAGTTGGCGAGTTTCGTACTTTGTACGGTTCACTGCACCCACAAGGCCCAGAAGGCGGCGGCTGAGCATCAGCGACGGCTTCAGCTGCAGCAACAACAGCAGGAGGAAGAATTGGTGCCTTCGATATGATTTGGTGGTACGTATCCTTTCCAATTGCCAATGCGTTATATGAGTGTGGGAATCGGACAATTGATTCTTGTGCCCCCCCCAAAAGCGGTAAAAGGATGGTTCTGGGGAGGATTTGTTGGTATGTTGGTTGTTACCTTGTTGATATTCAACGCGCTTTCCTTGCTGTTGATGTTTTATGTGTGGGGTGTTGTGTTTTTGTTGGCTTTTTGATTTCACTGTTGCCAAATATCAACTGGATTCAACTGGCCTTTTCACAATACCAAGTCAACTGTAAGGCACGAGCCATGATGCGGGCAAGCTATGGAGGTCCAGCATCACGTTTTTGTTCATTTTACGCGCAAAGTTGATGCGCAACCTGAAGTTAAGTTGGGATGGTCTAAACTCAATCCACATTATTTGCAGGTGATGCAGCAGCTACTAGAATCCAGGCCCAGGCGAGGGAAGAACGCTCAGTCTAAAACGGTTTTTAGAGACAAGAAGATTACACCACACCTGGGCAAGCATCTTGCATTTCTCTGTTTCCATGCAAACATGGCACTACCGTTTTTGTTCCTCGCAGGCTCAGGCTCAGGTTCAAGCTCAGCGTCAAGCAGCCGCAGCCGCCGCTGCCGCCGCCGCCACGCAGACAGCAGCAGCAAGGCAGTTCCTTGCCAGCAAAATTGAACGCGAACCGTTACAAGAAAAGAACCTGAGTTCAAGAAGTCTGCAAATTATGAAGACAAAGTCCGGATGACGCACAGGTTTCCCTGTAAAATTAAACTCAACCTCACCGGCTTCAACCATGACCATCATGACCGTGACTTTGCCAAGCAGCCCAGGCGAGCAGGATATGCTGGCGTGCAGAGCGAGGTGGCTGCATCACTCTTGCCACTTTTGCTTTGAACATACCAGAACATAGCAGATTTGAGCAGCGTTGATTTCAAGGAGGCTATGCAGATGACGAGGATGATGATGCTGGAGCAACAGGCAGCAAAGCTCTTGGACTTGCTGAAATGACTTGAAGAGCAGAAAGCATTGCCTCCGTGAGCAAGGACGCTACTAGGGGCTCCTGGCCTTACTACTAGGAACAAGAAGCTACTAGGAGCAAAGAGCATCGCGACTAGGAGCAAGGACGCTACTAGTAGCACTACCTCTTTCCGTCATCCATTTCTGGCAATCCCTGCGCCGTGGAGTACCAAGGCTCAGATGAAGCAGCAACAGCAGCAGCAGCAACAGATGGCCCGAGCACAAGCGATCCAAGGCCACATCCTAAAGGAAAGACATCAAACTTTTTGTTTTTTAATGGCCCGCTCCGCCCCCTGCCTACTTAATTAAGTAAGGGACTCTAGTAAGCTAATACTTAGGACGCAGGATAGCTCACGCTTCTTCAAGGAAGCTCTCCCCGTCTCAGAGGGCGGGGGTGAGCTTCCTTGAAGAAACGCTCGCACTATTCATTTGGTTCCTAGGTTTTTAGGCAAACTTAACATTAGGTGCTGTAGGCGAACTCATTGCCTAGTACATTGCCTACCCTTTGCACTCCTTTCGAAATTTCAAGGTCAGAAGATGGGTTCGTGACCTAGCTTGACACGCTTGCCAAACTTAACATTAGCTTGTTTCACACAATAGTTGAACATCATTTTTAATCTTTGTAGATGTTTGTGTGTGTGCTTGCGCAACTACAGAAAATCACTCATGGTACTCGTTGGTCTGGTGTTTGAATGATGCTGCACCCAATCTTTGCAGCAGGGGTATCAAGGATTTGGCATGAGCAGTGCCTCCATCCTTTCTTTACCCAGGTGGCCAGAAGCAACCTCCAGCGACAGGCGTCTTTCCGCCAGTTTCGTGGTTGTTTTTTGTAGGTAACGCGTCTACCTGCAGAATGGGCTCTAGTGATGTACAAAGAGCAATTCTCAGGATTGCACATGATTATTTTGGGCTTTGGACACTGAATACACAGGGATCCTGGACTGAGCTAGACTGGTTTGTTGGCCGTCTCAGGGACAACATTTGAAGATTCCATGCGTTGAAGTCAATGGACACCTCGTGAAACTGTGGTGCTCATCCTCGACGTCGCAGGTTGGCAGTACGTTGATCCCAAGGGTCAAATCCAAGGACCATTCAGCCTCCTGGAGATGCAGCAGTGGTGCCCACTGGGTCCACCCTAGGTGAGGCTTTGAACTCTCCGACCTCACTCGTTTCAAACTTCAGAGCATACAGGACAGAGGCTGCAAACAAAAAGAATATCTAATATTTAGATCCCTACAGTATCCACGCCACAAATCATTGACATCTGAGCCCTGTTGCCTCTTTACATCACAGGTCTGAATCCCACGACATGCCGAATGTTTTATATGGTTCAATCGGATTTTGTAGCGTTGCAGCTTTTCGGATCGATTTGGCATGGACAGGTACCACATGAACTACTTCCGTCCTGAGTTGAAGATGAGGCCTGCCCTGTGTCAATTTTGCAAATCTCCACATCCAACGCCTTTTTCTCTGGAGCTTTTGGAGGTGTTCGGATCAGGACGAGTTTGTGCCCTTTGCGGAGCTCTTCCCTCATCCGTCGATCCCCTTTCAGAGTTACCCAAAGCGGGTCCCTGCAAGGCGGACAGAGCAGAGCATGCAGCGGGCTTTCTGAAAGGGCCAAGACCCGCTGAAATACCAAAACGCACAAGTTGTGTGTACCATGATGTGCACCGGAAAGTGTGCCAAAAAAGACTCCAATTTTGAAAATTTTAAATCCTTCTCGCAGTGTTCTCTCATCATTCCAGATCTAAGACCCCAAGCAAGCAGGAGTACAAGGGATAAGAAGAAAAGATATGAAAAAAGGAAGGTAAAGAACATGGAACCTCCCCTTTAAAGGAATTTACTTTGTTCTTGTTCATGTTTTTTCTTCAAATGTTTTCTTGGTGGTTTCGTGTTCTTGCGAAAGTCGCTAGCTCTTGTTAGTACCATTCGGTTGCACTTCGAATTGGATACATTGTGCTGCACTTTGGCCCGCAGGCGGTGAGACTTGGGCCTTTGAGCTTCGGAGTCTTTGGAGAGCGATTCGACGAGACAGTGCCATACTGAAACATGGTGAAACTAAAGTAAGCTCACACAGCTCAAGCCCAAACGGGCAAAAGAACGAACAAAAGTCTGCTTAAAAGAGGAAGTGTAAGTTTCAAGCAAGGCCACAAGGAGACAATAGCTTGGAGATGACCTCCAAAAGATTCCGATCAGAGGGGTTCAAGCTTTTCCGATTTGTTCAAGAACGAATGTTCGGAGCAGCGAGCAGAAGCGAGCAGAAGCGAGCAACTGTGAAACATTGTGAAACTGGCCGCATATGTGGCGCTTTGAATTCAAGTTTCCGCAACACTCTTTTTCTCTGGGGGCCATTTGCATGGTCCTTGCCTCAGAGTGTTTCGGGGACATGCTGAGATGGACCAGCCACCGCTGCGGTCACAGATCCTTTTGGAGTGCCAGCAGCCCTGCCCCACTGTCTGTACAGACGAAGTGGTTGTGCTACATCCGCACTGTAATTTGAGGATAGGGCAACCTGGCAACTGTGACCTGGCTGGACAAAATGATTTGCTTTCCAAGTTGAAACGATTTTTTTCTGCGAAGTCAGTGGCTGGTCTTCTCAGATCGATCGCTTTTGGACAGAGTATGGAGATGTAGAGGTTCATTGTCATCACCTCAAGGAGGTAGCATTCTTCCAGGCACTGGACAAGATTCGTCCAGCCTGCAAATTTCAATCGTACCCTGCACGGCAGGTGTTAAATTCTTTGCCTTCCAAGAGCTCAACGAGCAAAAACAAAGCAAACGAAGCGCTCGAAAGGAACAAAACTCTCTCGCCGAAACGGCAATTTTGGGAAGCTCTTGAGAATGGTTGACTGGTTGGGATTCTCACAGTGCGTGAAGCATTCCTTCGGTTTATACAAGCCTGACTAGAGGAAACTCTGTCAGGTTGAGGTTGAGGAACGCACCCCAGTTGCTTCCAATTCGAAAACAGTGCCTCGCACGAGGCCATTTCTCGAACATTTCGACCCACTCTGCACATTGCAAGCATTCGTGCACTTGTGCGAGTGGGGTTGTGACAGACCTCCAGGAGGGCTTTTCTTGACCGAAAGCCCAACCTGTTTTTTGGATGGATCGTGTGACATGTACGGGCGCTCATTGGATGCTATAGGCAGCTTCAGTGGTCAGCCGCAGGAGAACAAACTAGTGTTTGCATTTCCAACAATCCATGATGAGTCATCATGAGTCTATGAGACACAATGAGACAATGAGACATCATGTCTTTTTTATTAGGCATTCTTTAACCAGACTTGTTCTCCTTTACAAATGCAAGGCTTCAGAGCTGGCAGAGAAGGTGTCTTCAGGTCTCTTTTTCGAGCCGTTGTGCCTTGCGCCTGCTCCGTTGCCTCTGAGAAACATGGCTGCAAACAGGTGTGCCTCGTGCAAAAACATCCAAGTCGAATCTGTTGAATCCATTAATCCATCACCTAAGATATGTCGAACTCGGGGTGTTTGGAAAAAAAGGAGACTCGAGAAAAATACAGCAATTGCTTTGATAAGGCCTAAAGGGGGCCTGACCTTCTTTCTTTCCTCTCTTTTTTTTACCATCGTACCACAGATGACATCAGACAAATGAGCAGAGAGAGGACAACACCATGTGACATGCCGTTCACATATCCTCAAGTGTCCAGTCGTGGCGGGTCAGCTTCCCGTGCTGACCTCAGATATTTGGTGGGGTTCACTGTAAGATTGCGGGGCATGATGAGCATGAAAATAGCGATGGCCTCCAACCTAAGAGTGATGCCTTCCACCCTAGAAGCGATGGCCTCCAACCTATGAGCATGATATGCTATGGTATCCCTGATAAGCAAACATGTGCAGTTTTGCATCCCAAGGTGCATGGCCTGGCAGAGTCATGGCGCAGGGATGCTCGATGATGCTCAAATTCGTCCCAAACGCTCGTTTTTTCAGTCCTACCTTTGAGGTCCACGGCAATCCTGAAAGACATTGCTTCAAAGTCTGAAGCTTTGAGATCGATTTGCATGACGCAAACTCTGCATGGAGAACTTGCATGACCCACCTCATGGTCACCTCACCCGCCATGCGTATAAATCAAACTGCTCAGGTTAGAAGTTTTGACTGTGCAGCTGCTTGATGCTGGAAAGGCCTAAGCACCATGAACCACCGAAAAATGAAAGATGCGTGCGCATTGCAAGTGGGATTGGGTGGTCAAGTTCAAGGCCGTTTTCATTTCTGTTTTTTATTGGCAGGAGCAAGGACGCTACTAGTAGCTCCTGGCCTTACTACTAGGAGCATTCTCACTACTAGGAGCAAGGACGCTTCTAGTAACAAGTGCCTTACTAGTAGTAACAAGTGCCTTACTAGTAGTAACAAGTGCCACGCTACTAGGAGCAAGGACGCTTCTCAGCTTCAAGCTGTTCAGCTCCGCTGCTCCCTCCCGCTAGGCCACGGTTCCGGATGCTCTTCTGCGACCGTCGCTTGACTTGCTCGGAGATCAGAAGCAGGTGTGGTCCGTTTGGTTTCAGCAGTTTTCCAGGATAGCTTCGCAGTTCCCAGTGGATTTCCATGAAGTTCCCAGGGGTGGGACCGCTGTTTGCAAGGTGATTTATGATCTGATTGGCGCAGCTGCGCAGAGCAAGCTGCCAAGCATGATGGGCATCGGACTTCTCAGAATTTCATGCTTGGCTTCAGGTGCTTTGTCAAGCTCCTATTCCGATACTGAGAGCGTGACAGCATTGGAGATCGAAATTGCGGAACTTGCCACTGTCTTAGAAAAGTCGATTCGTTTCTTTTTCTTTTGTAAGGGAGGGGGTAGGCCGCTAGAGGGAAGTAGTAGCTAGAGGTAGCTAGCAGAAGCTAGGGAGTCGCTAGTACCTACAAGTAAGCTACTACATATGGACGCAGGATAGCGCTCGCACTCTTTTAGGGAAACTTAATTCACCAGGTGAAACACCAGACCCAAGAGCTCGACATCGAGGGCGGGTTCCCATCTCAGATGAGAGTTAGGAGATTTTACCAGATCTTACCAGAAGGCATACCTTGCTACTTGCAAGAACAACTCTTCATGTTAGCGCCTTCGAAAGCCTTTAATGATCTTTAATGTGCAACAGGCCTAATTGAAATTTGTTGGAGTTGCAATGTCAGTTGTGGAGCTTCCTTATACCCGGCGAAACTGCTGCCTTTGAAGCTCAGGCCATGGCACAATCCGCCGGCCCTGAGACGCTTTCGAGAAATGGGTCAGGCGAAAAGATGTTGAGATTTGTCTGAGGACTTCAGGAAACTTTACCAGATCCTAGTAGCATCCTTGCTCCTAGTAGACGGCCAGGAGCCCCTAGTAGCGATGCCCTTGTTCCTAGTAGCGAGGCCAGGAGCCCCGATCGTAGCATCCTACCAGAAAGGACGGAAGAAAGCTCGAGAACTTGGCAGTCGCCCAAAAACCGAAGTCTTCACCCATCCTTTCGCTATTAGAAACAAGTGCATCGCTTCTAGTAACAAGTGCCTTACTAGTAGTAACAAGAAGCTAGTAGAGTGCCATCCTTTGATTTTCCTTAAGTCGTCAGTGTATGGTGCCAGGCAGTCTTCAAGAAGATCAGGCAGCTGCAAGACTTGCGCGCGATCAAGGACCCTCTTCATGATCCTTTGGTAAACGCATGTTCACAACAACTTATTTGTAAATGTGATGGTATATCACTCGACTGGACCATGCTTCGGGGTCTGGTGCAAGAGTTTGTGAGGACAGGCCTTTGGCCTCCCCAGCCGCACCAAGTATGGCTTCGTCAGCGGTGTCATACTGAGATGATTGAGGATTGGAGGAACTTGCAGATTTGGCATTCGTTTGACCTTTTAAGTTTTCAGTGTGCCCCCTTACCCATACTCCGAAGTCGGAGTGTACAATGAACCATCCCACCTTTACGATTCCTGAGGGCTATCCTGGCATCGGAGGACTGCCGCAGTTTGAGCCAAGCTTTCAGCCTGGCTGCCTAAGCTGAAGTCAGGACAAGACCGCAACATGACAGTGGAGCAGGCGGATGAATTGAGATGCGGCAGAGCATTCTTGGTCTGGAGTAATGCATGGTTTTGATTCGTAAATACGCAGCAGCAGCAGCAGGAGGAGGAGGAGGAGTAGTAGTAGTGGTAGTAGTGGTAGTAGTAGTAGTGGTAGTGGTAGTGGTAGTGGTAGTGGTAGTAGTACTACTAGTAGTAGTACTACTAGTAGTAGTACTAGTAGTAGTAGTAGTAGTAGTAGTAGTAGTAGTAGTAGTAGTAGTAGTA